AATGAAAATTTTAATTCGATTCAAACATAGGCTTAATTTTCTTCTCATCTTGCAACTAACTTGTTGGTTAGGAGTGGGTCCCATAATCGAGTGATTTGACCAATTAATCATAGTTCGAATCCATTTCCTACTATCCATATCAATCCCTTCATTCACGACATGAATTCTTGGTGGATAAACTCTTGCTCCAAGAATTTTTGTTGTCGAGTAAAGGCCCTTGCAACATCAATTGAATTGAGTTGACCTTAAATGAAGTAGCAAAAATATTTGAGCTTTCTTATATGCCTGCTGATTTTCTTATTTCGTGTAAGGAATGATGATGAGCGCTTTAATAGAAAACACTTACTAAATACTGTCGAAATTGAAACTTTCTATATTAATTGCACCTAGTACCGTCAAATTTTATTAAAATATTCATTTTATGAAAAGCTAAAGCCGAGTAAAATCCCTTGCAACATTGATCGAATTGAGTTGACCAAAGAATGAACAAGGTAGCAAAAATATTTGAATTGAAATGGGTAGTCCATATTGGTGTCAAATCTATTCTCATGTTCTGATCTTTCCATTTTTTTGATCCATTTCTTGTATAAAATCTCGCTTGAAAATGAATCGATGGTTACTAATTTTGATCTTGTTGGGATGAAGGGTAGTTCTTTTGTTGCCCTAATTGGGGTGGAGCACGTGGGTATTGTTGCTCTCGTATGTGCCCGTTGGAGTACTCGTTCGGTATGAGTAAGAAATGGATCTGAGAGCCTTAATAGAAAACACTTACAAAAAATTGTCGAAAATTTTATTCAAATGCTCATTTTATACAAAGTTAAAAATAACGAGTTGCACATAAGAATACAAACATACGTCAAGGAAGTTCCTGTTTGGTGTATATTAAAATTAAAATTAAATTAAATTCCAATTCAATGTCAACAATTTTTTTAACCTCACATTTCATCAATTTTTATCAAAATCTACTAAAAATCTTGATTTTAACACTTAGTTTACGTTTAATAAAAGTTTTAAGTTTTAAACAAAATAATTCGAATAGATTTCATTGTGAGATCGACATATATCAACAAAATATAAAACCAATAAAATTCATGATAAGAAGTCGTGACGAGATGAAAAGTTTATTATTGCATTCAATCTACTTACTTAAATATGAAAATGTCACACCCATGGCCCAAAAAAAAAAAAAAACTGCAATAAT